AGATGAGGCTAAGAGAGACCTTTGAAAACTTGTGGGTGAAGAGATCTGCCCATCACACTGTATCACAGGGAACCAGGGAAATGGATCTGCAATCCTTATTCTGTCACATTCAGATCATGAATACGAACTTCATTCCTCCACCTCTTGGGTTAAAGAATTATGCTCTGGTTCCCTGAATCGTTCCCCACTCCCACCATGGATATGTTCTCTGTCTTCCTGAAGTGTTTTAATACAATACAAATTGTTCAGTATCAGAGATATAGCAGATGATAATTGAGTAGTAAAGGCTTTAACCTGGAATGTGGCAGACCTGTCCTTGTTTGGATAAGTAACTGCTACAAGCCACATCCCAGCAGGAAGGACAGAATCCAACCAACACCTCCAGCAGCCTGTTGGATTCTGAGAACCCCAGCCCACATCTTACTCTGAATAGGGCAGGACAGCACACTGTTATCATCAGCTGTTCTATGGTCACAGGAAGGCCTTCTCCCTCAACTGAAGCTCCTTTCTGCAGGTGACGTGCTCTCCTAAGGGACCTACAAGACACATTCTCACAAACATGTCCAACCATCCACACATGCAGGTTTACACTTATTTTTCCACCTTGTTATACCATTCTACTGCCGAGCTGCTATTCAGTTTACAGCAGACTAACACTATTTTATTGCTGAGAACACTTGGAACAAAGCAAGATTAAATATATGGTAAAGACTCCTTCACCCTTTAACACAATATGTTCCAAACTGTATGTACTGATCCCATACGCAATTTTACTGGAACACAGAAGTTAACTAGAACTTATTCTATTTCTTTGACTTCTCTGTCAGAAAAGAAAGCTTTCTAGCTTGCATATTGAAAAAAAAAAAAAAAACAAATTTAAAAAAAAAAAAAAAACCAAAAAAAAAAAAAAAAAAAAAACCCACACCAATGAAACACCAAAAAAAAAAAATAGAAAGAAAACAGAAAAACAACGAGGAGTTTTGAAATTAGTAGTTCATACAGAACGTTCTGATCTAATTTATTTCCTTTCATAAGTGGTAAGAAAGCCAACTTTTAAGTTTAGACAGCCAGAGCCTTCCTTTTCTGCTAAGGAAGAAATTACAGCCAGCAGAAATCATGAAAGGCAACGTTGACTCCGAAAGCACAGAATGAAGCAGAAACATCTCTGGGCATTACAGCTCAAGCATGCAATACCTGGAAAGCTCCATCACTATGTTGACCTAAACACAGACAGCTGTAAAGGTAAGAGCTGGTGTGAGACAGCTCGATTTAGAAATGTTTATTTCTTCTTTATTTGCAACACAATTCCACTACTTGTGGTGATGTTTTGTTATTGCTGCAGACTGCACTATGGTAAAGAACGAACCTCTTACAGCTGCATTCACCAAATCAGCCAGTTTCTTCATAAGAAACAGTTCTAAAGGGTCTGAAACACGTTGAACAGGAGTCACAAAACACAAGAATTGTTAACTCAACCCATCAAACCAGACACAGGCCCATTCATAAATAAGCAAAGGCAGTTACTACCAAATATCACTGATATGTATTTATCTGAAAGACATATTTTGGTATAGAAATTGGAAGGCACACAGACTGATAACTGCATACTGACGCCTCAATTTCCAGGGCACCCCGGTTGCCCCACATTCTGCAGATGGGCAAACCTTAAAAAAGTTTTCAAAATTTAAAGGGCAGACAAATCTTTCTTAAATGAAAGCAGGGCAGAAAGATATTACAAGCACGTATATCCAATACTTTAAAACACCCACAACGTCTCTTATTCAGAGTTCAACAAGAAATAAAACCAAGACAATACTCAAAAAACAAATACTGTTATTTTGCGCCCTTACTTTACACCACATTTTCATATAAGAAATTACGGCATGAAACAGTTCACCTCAGCTATACTTCATACTTCTGTTCTTCTAACAGCAAGCAAACAAAATAATCAACTTGTAAATAAGTTGTCTGATGTTCAGCTTGTTTTTTTCCATACACAACTTAAGTTTTATTATCGACACGCAGTAAGAAAAGGGCTTTCCTTTCTAATTAAGATAAAGCATCAGACTCTCTGATAGAATACATGCATGTAGTTTTCACCATCTTCACTAAGTCATTTACCAGCTAGCAGTCTGAATAAGTTAAAAAATACCTATTACCACAGACCTGATAATTATTCTGATGCTTTTTAGAAATAGATGCTAAACTTTAAGATAATGAATATTAAACCGTATTTTATGAGAGCTGAATGATGGAGAACAGATGCTAAGTTAAAAATTAATTTGCAAAGTGTCAGCTCAGAGCATACATGTAAAGCTGCAGTGTTTGCTATTCAAACAACATGCTGAAAACAATGGAAAAAGTTGTCTATTTCTTCAGTGCTTGCCAACCATTTTTTCAGGACTTCATATGGAAATCCCATTTAAACTTAAGAGTCCAGAAAATAGCATTCAGTTTTAGAAACTCTAATGGCTTATTAGGATAAGTACGTTCTCTTCTGGGCATCTATTTTCCATCTTGAACTGACTGACATATAGCAAACGCTACTCAAAAGCCTGCAATTAATTTGTTTTTGTCTCACAGTTCACTCTGCCAGTAAACCTTTGTTTGGACCTCTGATGGAAAGGTTGACTGTGTCTGAAAATTATGCCTGCCACTCTGTAACCACTCATGTAAGTCATTTTAAAAATGAAAAACAAGCAAGCAAATCACAAAAGCAGCAATATCTCTGTAAAGAAGCTCAAGATTTATCAGTTGCTCAAGTCCATTTACTGGGTAACAAGATTCTTTCTTCTTGCTATGCATGATATAAATGATAATCCTTTGAGGAATACAATGAAACTTGACACTATTGCAAATTTTTTGTGTATTTGAAAAAAATGTTCTAGTTTTCCTAATTATAGCCACTCCTTTTATCTCCCATATGCTGTACTATATAAATCCTGTCTTTCCTTAAAAATTCAAATCTGTCATTTATACGAAGGTTCATACTTTATCCATATAAATCGGCCACCTCCTAACCACTTTTGTTTCTCTTCTCTAAACACCCTCCAATCTTGCAAAGTCTTTCCAATATCTGAGTGATCAATGATAGTTATGGTCCACAAGTAGTCTCACAAACTGGTCTGCCAAGGCAGACTATAGCTGTTGCAGTTTGAGGCACAACAACATAATCAGTAGTCCTCTTGAAAAACTTGCTAACTTCATAATACTTTATAAGAAGCATTCTCTGCCAACAAGTAGAAGCAGCATCATTAAGTAATGGACACCACACAACCTCATTTGTTTGATCCATGGACCGTGATTCATACAACGCAAACCTCTTTTAGAGAAGTGGTGAAAAGTCGGAGTCCATTTAGTAGTGATCATAGCAAAACAGATTTAGTGACTGCCTGTAAGAGCTTATGTCAATTTAACCTGGATGTCTACATGCTGCTACTTTACCTACAAAAAATCAGTACTCATGAATGCACAACTATTCACAGTACGAGAATGAAAAAACAGCCAAATGAAAAGTCTGCAAGAGAAAACCTTCTTTTATAAGCTCATTTCATAGATGGTAACTGAATAGCAGTTTCAAAGCAACTGCAGAGCAACTCAGAGATGACCTTTTATTTTACACAGACATAATATCTAGCACCTGCAGTGATACTACAAATATGTTTCCTGCATGATGGCACTCTTGCTGACATACACCTCTTAAGAACATTTCACATGGATTACTGTCATTTTTTTGTGCACTCCTAAAGCAATTTTCCCTTAAGTTTGAAAATGAGATATTTACAAAAAGAAACCTTTTTTTTCTTCTGCTAGCTTTTATATTTGGAATACAAACATATCAAAACATTGAGTTTTTATTAAAAAGACTATTCCCCTCCGGTTACCGATATTCTTCTGATGTGTCATAAAATAAAAAAAAAGCTGCTATTGGGTACCTGGTTACAAAGAACTTCCCTCATGCTAAACAAGCAGAGATACCAGATTATGAATACTGTTTTTTTAATGCTACAAGAAAAGTCTTTACAAAATTTTTACTTAGCATTTCCACCAATTTGGAGGGGTGCAAGTTATTGGGTTCACTTATGTATGACATGTAACAAACTGATAAGTAGTTCACACCATCTGCCACAGAAAAAAAAAAAAGTATAAATTAACATTTTTGATGGGTTTAAACTTCAGTCACAAAAAAAGCCTTGTTCTCTTTTCCATCAGAAAATTAAAGAAAATTACAAAGTGCACCAACGATTGCAGTCAGCATTTGCACTACCTTTATCATGGAAGTCAAAGCATATGCCAGAAAACTCCCTAATCTGTTTCTTTGTCCACTGGGCATATGGATGGCTATAAAATTTATCTCTTGTGTTTTCCCTAGGCACATGACCATATCACAACCGTATTGCTGTTGGGCATGACTAAGTTGTAATAGGTACTGAAAGAGCATGCAACGTAAAAATCATTTACAGAAAATTGTAGCACATACATTCCACTATCACGCACTGGTATTAGAAGCTTGCATAAGACACAGAGCAAAGCACAAACCTGGCCATAGGCTGTTTTACATTGCTCAGTCTCACTGCCTGATACCAGAAAATCCTTGTGTGAATATTAACCGCAGAAAACCCAACAACTGTAACAACTCCTGCCCAAGCAGTACCCTGAAAATTCAGTTCACAACGGTTAGAGTCAAAAGTCATAGCACCACTGCCATTTTCAGAGAAAATCACTTTCCAGAAGATTTGGAGGGGTGGCACTATTGAAAGCGGGCTAAACGTATGTATCCAAGACCACATCTGTCATTTCATTTTCAAGAAGAGCTCATGAGAGCCTGCCCAAGGTAAAGCATCAGAATAAAAGTGTTATACAAAAGTGTTATACTTACCATCAGGTTTCGGGTCGTGGCATTTTGTTGGTGATATTCAACAGCAGAAATACACAAAGCAAACTGCAATTTCAAACCTCTGCATGAGCAAGAAATAGTAGACAATTAAGGTTTCACCCACCTGGGATCTTTCTGAATGCTATCAATGGAAGGTGACCTAGCCAAGGTCCCCTCAGGTGGGATGGCTGGCCCAGATTTGCTGTATGGTGATTCAACAGAAGGACAATACTGCAGCTGTCGGTAGGGGTCTGCGTAATTGGAGGCTGGGCCTGCAGCATAGCTGGCCCTCTGGAAGGTCGCAGTTGCGTTCTGTGTGCCGTGTTGACTGCCTGTGCGCTGTAAGGGTACGGAGTCGACACCAGGGGAAGATGGGGCTACGACAGGAAAGTAGGGACAAAGTAAAAAATTGAGGACCTGTTCACAGAAATGGTTAACCAGGTCTAGGCAGAGGAAAAAAAACACACACATATAAAACAGGGGTTCAAAAAGAATGAGAAAAAAAAAACAAAACAAAGAACATGGTCATTTTCAAAACCACTGAAGTAAGTAACCATCAAATGAACTTCTAAATGTCATGCCACTTCTAGACTAGGGGGCCTTTACTTCAGCTAAATAGACTGTAGCAATGCTTTTCACTTGAGGTTTTACTTACACTAACCTGGGACAAAAAAAGCGCATTAAAAAGCATAGAACTCGTCACACCAGGGTTTACGAACACCATCAAATGGTTTTTGCAGCCTTTCCAGAGGTGAGCAGAAGGAATGGCCTCCTGAGCCTGATTTAACAAGTTATGCTGTACTGTTCCTTGGCAAAGGAAATTGCCACAGCCAGCTAGAATTGATATTCCTGGTGTCTGTGCAAAAGGTAAAACCAGATACCAGCCACTGACTGTTACTGTGTAAACTTGTGTAAACTTCTGTAACCTTCCCCTCCTCCCCCCCTGTATTTCATGGTCTAAAAGACTTACAGGACTGCTACCACTACCTGAGTCTGAAAGAGAGCCAGGTACAAAGAGGCCAACAGATATCTTAATGCACACCAATAGGGGTTGTACACCAAGTTAAAGATTATTATATTATCAGTTCTGAGCAGCCTACTTACAGAGTTAAACTGATTTAATGCTTTTTCAACAAAAAAAAATCTTACTAAACCCCCTCACAGCCTATTATTTTCTGTTATGCAGCAGTGTAACAGGAATATGGTCAACGTTGAGATCCTTACTAAATATACAATACTTTTAAACCAAAGTCCAAATGTAGGCAATTGGCTTTGCACTGTAAGGGCTAGAGAAGCAACAGCCACATAATCTTTAGCCTGAAAACAAATACAAATTAAAAGCTAGCTTGGACTGCTTACAATGGCAAATGAATTCTTCATGGGTCCCATTTCCCCCACATACGCAAGCAGGAATGGGCCTGGGTTCAGGACTATTTTTTGCTGAGTCAAATTCATACACAAAATCATAGGCAAAATTGCATATTTGCATGATAGATGTTCGTAAAGTATTTCCCAGTCCTTTTTTTTTTATTATTAACATTTACATTGACACTTCAGGAAAGTAAACATTTTTGGTATGTTATAGATTCATGAAAGGGATTTTAAGCATTTTCCCTTTAAGCGTCAGCAAATGAAATACACAGAGCTTAAAATACAATTACTGCAATTTTGTCTGAGCTACTATTTGCCAAAATTCACAGTTTACAAACATTCCAAGTTTGTATCAAACTCTGCCTTATTTTCATTTTTCCTGATTCTGAAGCATATTGCTCTACAATAACAAGTACTATCTCACAGCACTGTTACAAGCACAGAAAAGTGGAATTACCTTGATGTAAATTTTCAGCAAGATTTTATAAGTACTGCTCTTAATTTTTACCAAATAATTCCTCATGAAATGAGGAACAAGACACATACAGACCTTCCTGTAAATCTGCATCAGTTAAAATGAAAGAACAATATTAGCATACCAGAACATCTCATGCACAAACCATGCTAAATTCAGTGTTACGAAGACATAATAAAAACATCACTTTTTAACAGAAAATACACTTAAACTGAACATTTGGTGCCTTATAGGAAAAAAAAAAAGTGAAAAAGTCAGAGAATATTCCAGAAATATTTTTAAGGAGAGCAAAAATGGGGTTGTACAGTGATACAGCTTGCTTTTAAGTATTGTCAGTATGCAGAATATGCCACTAGCTGTTGACACCTGGCAGGGAGGATTACATAAAAATCCTACAATGCTAACAGTACTGAAAATAACAGCTACATCGTAACATACAATAGAATACTTTGTAAATAAATGTATTTACTTCTCAAGGCAGTTGGATGGAAACCATACTTGTTTTTAAACTCCTTGAAAACTTTTCTTTCCATTTTCCCCTTTGCCTTGTTATCAAAATAAGTACTTACATGAACGGAAACTGTCACTGTAACACCTATGTGCTTTTTGAGTAACTGATTTATTTCTCAAATTATCTTCCTAAAAGAGTCTTGCTTCCTTTCAAATTTTATCACAATGAGCACAGAGCTACCAGAGTTAGAGTAGAAAAATGGAATAGGTCTATGACTTAGCTAAACATTCATTTCTCAGCTCGTTTGCCTAATGTTAGGCCGATTAAGCGTAAAAAGAACACACACAATCTGACAAAACAAGTGCAAAAAAAAGCAAAAAAACACACAAAAAAACCCCATTCACTTTAAAGTAACTTCGACATTTAACTGGAGTAGAGTCACTACCACGGGCTGTAAAACAGTTAAACTCAAGTAGACATTTTTACATGAATGGTTTCAAGTCAAACTAAAGCAAAACCACCTTCTACCAACCCATTACAGTTAAATTCTTTTAGCAGCTAGATTTACTGATTAACAATAAGCCTATTAAACATAATACTAAATGAGAAACCCCTTTGATTTAGCTCTTTAAACACCAAAGTCATAGTTATCATGCCTATTAAACAATGAAGTTTAGAAACCCATTTGTTTCACCAGGCAACATTAAATCACAGGGCACGCTAAGCAGACCAGAAAGCGTTCATGTACCAGACACATCTGAAGATGACAAAGCAACTACAGAGCATGCTTTTAAAACAGATTCACTTACTTGTTCCTCCAACTTTCACATTTGACTTCTCACAAATCAAAAGTCAGACACAGCGGTAACTGTACAGCTACCATGATACACAGGTAGCTCCTGTCACGCTACCTGGACAAGGACCACGGCTTTGATCCAATAAAAGAGGAGAAAGAGGGGAGCTGTAGCAGTGTTCTGCAGTAGAAACGCGCTAGCCCTCAGGCCAATTTCCCTGGGACTTGGCCCATTCAGAACAGGAACGTGGCTGCCTTTGGTGCAGGATACAGAGCTTGAGTTTAGGTTTAACACCAAGGAAGTCTTTTGTAGCTTAGGCACTTTCACTATTAAGTTTCTTATTATCAAGAAAGACAGTCAAATTTATTCCAGTTCTCATTTTGTTTTCCATTGTGTTCTCCCTCGCTTTTATGTGTTGTTTCGTTTAGTTGTTAATCTTGCAAAACTTTAGTGTCCAAATTCCATTCTATTCAATTTCCTGAGTTTATCCTCAGACAGAAGGGAGATAAAGAATTTGCAGGCAAGTCTTCTCCTTGCAGCCTCATAAGACAGCGTCTTCTTCATCCATCCAGCCTTTGCTCTCAGCACTTCCACTTTTTAGGGCTTCCAGAATTGCACTGAACTCCACATAACCAACTGGAGAAGCTTCTTTCCCTTTATTGTCTCCATGTCCTCTCCCTCTCTCAGCTGTTTCTAGTTACCTTCTTTCTGCTGGGTCCCAACCTTCTCCAGATGCTTGCATTCTATGCATGGCAAGAAAGTTGCAACCTCCTCCCCTCCAGTCAGTTCCCACATGCCCAGCTTGCTGCTTTCAATAGCCAGAGCATAACAAACCACTGCACTCTGCTGTACCAGCCATCTCCTACTAGAGGAACATAACACACAGTACGTGGACAATGCAAGCAAAGGGGAAACAGAACAGTTCAGAAAAAGGTCTCTTTTCCACCCATAAACATGCTACAGTTTTCTCAGGTACTGGCTATATTTGGCTATCACACCTACTTGTAATTAGTGTCTAAACACCATGACAAGCATGTATTCCAATTATTATTCTTTTTAACAAGTTTTAATACATTTCCAATTACATGGTAAGAAGGAAGAATTTACCCAAGTCACTGTGATATCATTCCTCCAGATGGTATCACAGGAGATGTTAGCTGTTCATACTTTCCTATCCCAAAGACGACACTATAGCTCCTTGGGAAATACTCAATATTAGTCTAACATAGTCCAAAATGCCATTCCTGTTTCTGTCAGCTGCAAAGAACATGCCACCGTTTTGTGGGGGGAATAATGCCATGCTTCACAGAATCCAAGGAAACATAACTTGCGCTCTCCGGATAGTCATGAATAATAAATCCTGTTCCAAAGGAAACAGTGATGATCTTCAGAGACTGAAGAACTGAAAGCAGTGCCTGCATTTACACATCCTTTCACTTCAATTTTCCAAGAACACTTTTTAGATCTGACATTAATTGTTACAAGGCTGAGTGTTCCTTCGCTTAGGAAGTTGATGCCCCTTCACTGATTTAGCATTACCAAAACAAAACAAAACCAAACCGAACTACTACTTTTCTTTCTAAGCTATGTCTCTACATCTACATCTGTGCATTTTTCTGAGGGGACACAAAGATTTTTTATGCAGATACTCAGAATCTTCAATCAACTACATACTTTAAATTACTTCAGATTCTCAGCTCTTTGCCTTAAGAGAGAAATGATTACCTTTTCTGCAGGGCAGAAGCCATGACTTTCAAGTTTTTAATAGGTGAAAAACCAACCCCCTTCCACCTTCAGAAACTAAAGCATACTTCAGATCCACTAGATTTTAATTTCTACTAACTTACATAGCTTGCATTCTCAGACTTCCAGCTGTTTAGCATATTCCAACATGCTCCTCTTTGGAAAAAAAAAAATAAAAATGCTACCTTCAGCTCCTAAAGATATTCTGCCAAGACCTTTTCTCAGACTGCTTCTTGCCTCTGAATTGTATCCCTGAGTCTGGGGAGAACACACAGCTTAATTCATTTGTTACAAGGGCATTTAAATGGAGAAAGTACCAACTGCCAATGCCCTTGAAAGCAATTGACCTTTTAGAGATATTAAAATTCATCATGGGAGACGGAATTCAACCAAGAGCAATTGCACAACAGGAAACACATACAACACTTCAATTTTCTGTACTATGAGGCCAGCTCCAAAAGTAATGCCTCCTATTTTACTACTTTGGCCCACAATGACAGAGATGGATGTTGGTGGTAGGGCAGTAGAGGTCGAACCTTCCCA